TTCTCAGGGAAAGTCACTATTCAGATAATACACCTTCCAGCCAAATCACCGCTTACTTTGGCATAGTGAGTTATGCCCGTTGGGTTTCCCATTTTGTGCTCATGACACCCTTTCTCAGATGGGGAGACTCGGGCTCAGATAATCAAGTGCCTTGTCCAATGTCTCAGAGCTAAGGACTAACACCTAAACATTTTGATGACTTCTTCCAGCCCGCCATGATCTCTTTATATATCATGTATGCAAGTACAAACACACATATCCAGGTATGAACACACACATGTAATACAATTTATGCATGGAAGTTGTAACAAGTTGTAGAACAATTGCCCTGCCTTTGTACTTTTGTATTCTTCCATTTGTACTTCTCCCCTCCAGCTCCACTCTTCCTTTTAAAAGATTCAACCAAGATGAGCAAACTATTTTTATTAAAGGCCCTTATGACATCAATGTCATTTTCAAAACAAAAAATAACTCCATGAATAAGAGCATATCAAAACTAGGAACAGCGGTGTGCACTTATATCGGCTAATGCATTTGCGGCCTTGACTCCTAATGCATTATTGATTGTGTGAGTAATCCCCAGCTTAGAGGGCGTGGAGATAGAGTCAGCTGTGGGAAGAACTTTCTGTCTCCTGCACTTTCCTTCTGCATGTTTTCAAGGGTCTGTACTGGGCTCTAGCGCAGTGGAGCCTGTAATCCGACCTTCATATACCAAGGGCCACATTATTGCAAGGGATTGACTTGACCCAATTTCCAGCAACTTGACTTATATTCTTTTTGTCACAGTAGTTCATGAGGCTAGTTTAAATAAGGTACTAATGGTACTGAAAATTCTACAATAGAAACGATCTTATCCTATAACCCAGACTAACTTCCAATGAGCGACCACTTTCAACTTCATTGGTTTTTTTCTAACATTTATTTCAATATTTCTAAATGCTGTGCTTCTACTCCTATTTTTAAAATATATTTTCGTTGATTTCAGAGTGGAAGGGAAGAGAGATAGAAACATCAATGATAAGAGAGAATCATTGATCGGCTGCCTCCTGCACAACCCCTACTGGGGATCGAGCCCACAACCCAGGCATGTGCCCTTTACTGGAATCAAACTAGGGACCCTTTGGTTCGCAGGCTGACACTGTCTATACCAGTGATGGCGAACCTATGACACGCGTGTCAGAGGTGACACGCGAACTCATTTTTTTGGTTGATTTTTCTTTGTTAAATGGCATTTAAATATATAAAATAAATATCAAAAATATAAGTCTTTGTTTTACTATGGTTGCAAATATCAAAAAATTTCTATATGTGACACGGCACCAGAGTTAAGTTAGGGTTTTTCAAAATGCTGACATGCCAAGCTCAAAAGGTTCGCCATCACTGGTCTATACACTGAGCCAAACTGGCTAGGGCTCTACTACTATTTATTGATTAACCAAATATTTATTGGTTTTCTGCAATAGATGAGAATTCAGCTCTCACCCCTCCAATACCCTCTCACTTGTTCCCTCTTCCTCACTCTCACCTTCCCAAAACAGTTGTATCACAATCTTGGCTCCCTTGCTCTCATCTTCCCAAGTAGTTTGATCACAAGTTTGTGTTCACTAGATAGTTTATACACTATTGTGACTATTGCAATCTTCTGATCCAAGCATTATACTGTGATTATATTTCTTTCCTTACATGGATTTTATATTTCCTCAAATTTAAAATCACCCTTTCACTTGTATGCATGCATATAAGCCTAGCCAATGGACACAGACACCAGGGGGGTGAGGGCATGAGTTGGGGGAAGGGGGATAAGGATACATGTGTAATACCTTAATCAATAAAAAAATTTAAAAATCACCCTTTCCATTTTCTTGACTTTCATGCACCTATAATTGTTTTTTTCAAATGTTCCCATATAGCTGTCAAATGCCATATCTATTACAATATTGAAACCTCAAAAGCATCAATAAACTTCAAAGTTTGTTCCATGTTTTCCCACAAGTCTGTCTTATCTCATCTTGCAGCACCTGTCTAGAGCTAGTTCAGAGTTTTCAGGTGGACATATTATTTACTTCTCTGTGTCAGTTATTTTGTTGTGCATGGGATGTGCAATTTCCTCTTCCTTAACTCATTCCCTCATCTTTCTAAGGCACATCCTTCATTAGTTTTCTAAGAAAGGGTAAATAGAAAGTTAATATTTTGAATCCCTGAAGATCTGAGTAGGTGTTTATTCTGCTTCCATACTTGTTGGTAATTGGACTGGATATAAAATTCTAGGTTGAAAATTATCTTCTCTCAGAATTTTTAAATTTCACAGATTTTGAAGATCCATGGTCTTCTACTTTTCAAGATGCTGTTGGAAAATCCAATCTTCCTCTTTTCTGCTAAATTTATTGCTATTCCTCCAATCTCTGTCTTCCAAATATATGTTGAACTCTCTTCTATTTTTGCTACTCTTCCCAGTAATCTTGTTATTTGGGATTTATACCATTTTTAATTGTGGGCTATAATTTTAATGGACTTTTGGTATGAATAAGTGTTGAAAACCATGTGGTCATTCTATCATGTTTACTCAGTGTCCAGTGGTATCTTTATGTCTCCAAGTATTTCAACCCCTACAATCCCCTTTGCATATATTTTAACACTATAACTATTAGAAACCCTGAGAGTAGCTAATACTATTATCATTTTATGAAGAGACAGCTGAGGCTCTAGGAATGTTAATAGTTTTCTTGCGTTTAAAGAGCCAGCATAAGACAGATTTGAACTTAAATTCCTGTTTTTCTCACTCTATTGAGGCATAGGGTTAGGTTCAGTGATGTCTTTGTGATGGTGATAACTATTAATAGCACATGTCAGACCACAGATTTCCCATATCTTGCTTCAAATGTGAGTTATTCTTTTGAACTATTCTCTGAGCCACAGCATACAAGCTTCCCTCTTCAATCATTCTTGTTATTCCAGAGTAGAAATTGGAACACCTAAAACCAAAGAATTGCTGATGGTCTGACTTGTACAAAACAGATTGTGTTAGAACAGACAAGGAAAACTGAAATTATGGTGTTCAGGTCTGAAGGAAAACATTCTTTAATATATAATGGTGCTATTTCAGAGTCCACACACAATGAAATAACTCTCTTCTTTGATGCTTTTACTTACATTTTCACAAAGGGCACAAATAGCTTTCCCTAATTCAAAAACAAAAAATAAGTGATTTCTTTGGAAGTCTAGCCTTTTGAAAGCATTGCAGTCTTTCAGCTAAGGTGTTCTTCTCGAAAATGAAAAAAGATTTTCCAACTACTATTTATGAACAAGCACAGATAGCCAGTAATTTATGATGTGTTTATACATCACTTTGACTTTCTGTGGTTCTAACAGCAGACATGCTTTGTGTTAAATGAGTCCTTCCTGAAAGGGTTTTTCAGGTATTACCTCGTGAAGGGTTTCCAGGGACTTTCCCAATCAAACATTTGTCCAGTTTTTTCCACTGAATGTCAGATTTTATCACCTTATTATCACCAAGCACATCTTCACGTAGGTGAAGCAACCCAAATAAAAGGAGAAAATATTTGGGTCACGCAGTGAAAGAGTGAAACCAGGCAGAAACTTCTCTGACCTGAGGCAAACCATTCCACTGCTTAGACCCCCAGGCTGCATATCTGCAAAATAATCTCATACAGCCCAGCCAGTGTGGCTCAGCAGTTGAGCATTGAACTATGAACCAGAAGGTCATGGTTCAATTCCCGGTCAGGACACATGCCCAGGTTGCTGGCTCGATCCCCAGTGTGGGGCATGTAGGAGGCAGCCAATCAATGGCTCTCTCTCTCATCGTTAATGTTTCTATCTCTCTCCTTTCCTCTCTGAAATCAAGAAAAAAATATATATTTTAAAAATAAATAAATAAATAATCTCATACATATAAATGATCTTCAAGTCCTCTTTCAGCTCTTGAATGTCATCTCTAAGCCATCCATGAATCAACCTCAATTTATTATCTAAATCAGGCACCACTGTTTTAATACATATGTGACTATGGAAGGATTTGTTTGTTAATTTATGTAATACATCGACCATCATACTCAGAGCTGGTTATACAGTGACAAACTTAGCCTCATTGCATTCACAGTCCAGAGGAAAAGGCAGACAGAAACAAGCTCTCAAAGAAATAAATGTGATTTTAGAAATACTGTGGCAGAGTGCTGTGAAAAAGAATAATAGGAAAAAAGATCATTTAGACAATGGAAGGGGAATGTTTCCAGGAAAGCCTCATTGAAAAAATGACAAGTGATTTGAAGGATGAGGAGCAGCAAGACAAGTGAAAAGTGATAGAATCAGCATTCCAGGCTTATAGGGCAATATGAGCAAAGACCCTAAGGCAGTGGTCGGCAAACTTGCAGCTGGGCAAACCACAGCTCGTGAGCCACATGCGGCTCTTTGGCCCCATGAGTGTGGCGGTATTTTGTGGAAGACCCCCACTCAAGGGGCCAAAGAGCCATATGTGGCTCGCGAGCCGCGATTTGCCGACCACGACCCTAAGGCATTAAAGAGCTTGTGCTTTCAAGGAACCTGAAGAAGATCACGTGGTTAGAGCAAAGTGAACAAGAGGGGTTTGGCCTGAGATAAAGTTAGAAGTGGGTTCCCACCAAATCATTCAGGACTCATACTACTCAGTAGCACATACAGAAGAGCAGAAACAGGTGACCTGTATAAAGAGCGAAGAAAGTGGAATTTGCTGCCTTGAATTGAGAAAACAATGAAAGTGGAGGCAGCTAAGATATTCTAGAGTAATGAATAGGAGCGGGGGAGACCAAAGCTAACACCTTAGGTAGAAATTGGGGGGAAGGTAAAAGAATCTACCATAATATTTTGCCCTTTTTGAAAGGTTCATGCAAAAGTCATAGAAAAGAATTCCCTGGGTTATGGAAGTAATCACTTTCCCAGGGATTTCATACTAGTCACCAGAAAAGGGCAGGTTGTATCCTAACCAAAGCTCACTGTATGTCTGACAGGAACAAATGCTAAGCACGGACTACGCTGCAAAGCCTGTAAGATGAGCATCCACCACAAGTGCATGGATGGCCTAGCACCCCAGCGGTGCATGGGCAAGCTGGTAAGGGCCTGCCCCTGAGATCACTCCATTCAAACTCCTTCTCTGCAGCACCCGTGAGAACTGGCCACCAGGAAGGCGGCCCTAGAACCCCTGGTCTGCCAGCTTGGCTTCCTGGTTGGCAAAGTGACAGAGCAGAGGAGGAGCATTGTCAGCCCAAGGGATGAATGCTCCACATAGTGACCAACTTGTCCTAGCTTTAGCACAGGAAGTCCCACATCCTAGAACTCTCCAGGTTTTAGAAGTGAAAGTTAAGCACCCTAGGAACCATATCCCAGCTCCAGGCAAACTAGGGTGGCTGGTCATTCTAGTACTTAATTGGCTGACAGCTCAGTGGGAGTCATAAGTAGGATAGAGATTAACCACCCTCCCCAAAGTGGAGAAAGTAATAAAAATCTACAGCACTTTAATAGACTCATGGTGGCCCAACCAAGGGAGGTTGGGTGTCCCTGGCCCATTCTGGACTGATCATACCATCTCAAGAGTGTGGGCTTCATTCAGCACTGGTGCCACACATCACTCAAAAGCAACCCAGAGATTTCAAAACTAGGATGGCCAGAGAATTGTAGAAGGAACCAAGAATTTCTACCCTGGAGATACTTAGGGCATGACAGCTAACTTCAAAAAATAATAATAATAAGACGTGTCACACAGAAGAGGGATTCTGTTGTCCTCTGTGGCTCCAGAAAGAAAGACCTAGGATCAGTATGTACCAAGTCTTAACAGTCAGAGATGAAGTCACCAAAGACCTACCTCCAGGGTTAGCAAGAGCTCCCCCATCCATCCTCCGTCACTGGCAATGTCCAAACAAAGGAGATGCCACTGCCAGGAACTTTGGAGAGGACTGTGGAATTCTAGTAAAGGCTGGGCCACTACGTTTTCTTTCAATACTGGAATAAAGTAAGTCAAGGTTCTTAGAGAGTTCATCAACTTACTGTAATTGACAATGTCCTCTTCTTTAAAACCCTATCTCCTCCTCCAAAGGTTATTTCCATAAGTCAAGACAAAGACCATGGATGAGAAGTCAGAAAACAGAATGGAATCTAGAACACAAAGCAGATGGTTCTTGGTAGAGCTCAATCAGACATAGAAAGGCCTTTAAGCCAACCCCTAGCGTCTGCTTTCCCATTCCGAGGCTGATTTTAACCAACCACAATAATGAGCTGTAGTGAAATAAGGCATAATGGTCCATGGTATCCTGGGAGGTAATGAGGATCCCAGACACAAGGGAGGCTGCAGTGGGCCACAGAGAGGGAAGAAGCAGGACAGGGAAGGGCAGGGCTGAGGCTCGCTTTCTGGATGGAGTGTAGCTTGCTTATTGACACCCTCCAAGGGTATACGGTAGCACAAGTCAACATCTTGAAGGGAGACAAGGAGATGCCCCTAGAAAAATCAACTGGTTTGATGTTTAGAGTTCTTATGTGGTTCTCTTCTCATCAGCGACATTAAGCCCTTCTCTTTCTCATTCTCTCCCCAGCCAAAGGGGTTTCGGCGTTACTACAGCTCCCCCTTGCTCATTCATGAACAATTTGGATGCATTAAAGAAGTTATGCCCATTGGTGAGTTGGGACATTGATGGGCTGAGCCGGGTTTTGAGTAGCAATGTCAGCATTCATGGCTGCTGTTCTCCCAGGACTGCAAAACCCATGGGGTGTGTGTGTGCGTTTGTTTGGTGGCTGATGGGGTCATGATTGTCTGTGTATTTTGCTGGAAGGGAAAGATAAGATGGACCCAATTCTGCAGGAATATGCATCCTCTCCCTAATGAAGCTCAAACAACACCCAAATCCCAAAGGCTGCTGCTATGCTACCCCACCCATCAGCAGCATGATGGAGTGGAAAAAGCAGGGGGTACGGCATTCCACAGACCTGGTTCAAGTCCCAGCTTCCCCGCTGACCAATGTGTGTCTGCACAAGCTACCCACCCTGTCAAACCCTACAAAATGAGAATAGTAATGACTGTTTTTTAAAATTGTTGTAAAAAATAAATATAAATTATAGACCAATGCCTGAAAGGAACTCAGTGAATATCAGCTATTCTTCAATTGAGACCAAAAAAAATGCCTTATATTTATAGACATTGAATTTACTCTTTAACAATATCCTTCAGTGTACTTCTATTTTTCTCTCCCTAACAAAATCTCTACATCGATGTTTGTCTTTCAGGGAGCAGAGTGGCAAGTTTTATACTAAAAATGTATACACTAAAATGTTTTGCATTACAATTCATGAAGCCTGGGAATGTCCAAATCTTTCAAAAACACTTGCTTCCTCCTGCAAACTTCGGGTCTCAAAGGCTTCATACCTGGGAAAGCCTCACTTCGCACTTGAGGAAGTAAAGCTGATCTTTGGAAAGAACCTTGAAATTGGAGTCTGGGGGATGAATTAAAAAAAAAAGAGGAAAATCAATCCATCAGGAAGCATTTGGGAGCAGAGGGTGCCAGATGTAGTCGGGGTCCCTAGCAAATGGGCACTTGTCATGGGGGACACACATGTGAGGAAAGCTTGACCTCAAAAGCCCCATTTTCCCAGGGGGCAGTGGGTCTGAGCAGCACCTGCTTCTCAGGTGCATGGAATAGGTGATGCATGATGCGGTCCAGGATATGTGAAAGGTGATTGGCTGCATTCCTGACAGTGAATTGAAACCTTTCTCTCAGATGAGCTTTCTCTTCCGTTGCAGCCTGTGGCAATAAGGTGGACCCTGTCTACGAGGCCCTCCGCTTCGGCACCTCCCTGGCTCAGAGGACAAAGAAGAGCAGCTCTGGCAGTGGCTCGGACTCCCCTCACAGAACCTCTGTAATTGTCCTCTTGGTGCCCTTGGGCAGGGTGGGGCTCAGGCACTGCGGTCTGTGGGTTCCACCTAAATGCATCATGAGAGCTGGGCTGTTGTGAATCAGGCAGCCTCCAAATGGAAACCCAAAGGGCTTTGGGCCACTGAAGGTTAATTTTCTGTTGCCAACACCCAGGAATCATTTAACTTTCCCCCTCAAAGACCTCGCTCTTGGCTTCATGTTCCTTGACTTTCTCTTCTGTATACTCCTTCTCTCCCCCGACCCCCACCAATGTTAGATAACATGTGAACAACACAGAAAGGTTTGACTCAAACAATGGGCAGAAGCAGGAAGTCCCAGCTGTGCCCAGTTCTCCCTCCAGCTCCATCCCAGTTCAACAATACAGCCATTTCTCACATTTCCTCAATCCTTTCTCTCTAAGGCAAGGTATACCCTTGGATTCACACACAAAAAACCCTCCCCAGAGGGGCTTGACCTGTGACTTAGGGGGGCTTCTCTCCATGGGACAGTCACCCCCCCCACGCCCCTCTCCTATGTTTTACCTCGCTGGAAAGAGTGCTCTGTGCATGTCAAGACTTTGTGTGGACACCACCCAGCAATCCAAAAGAAAAGCACAGACAGCGCTGGCCAGAGCAGGGAGACCTCTGTCCACTCACCTTGCCCTGCATCCTGAGCAGGCCTTTCTCACATCTCTGGGGTGAGCCACCACATCCTCAGCCCCTCTCAGCTCATGCATCCCCCATGCCCGCCTGAGGCTGGCCTGTGTGGAAGGCAGATGCAAAGCCAACCGGGAAGGAAGAGCAGAAAGGCTTCCCCAGACATGGTCTGACCTCAGCAACCCCATGGCCCTGCCCTTGTGGGAGGAGAAGGCCTCAGATGCACTCCCAGCAGGCAATGGCCATTTCGGCCTCCACATTCTGGGCTCAAGCCAAGAAGCAGCAAGACCATCAGAGAGCCCATTTGTCCGGTTCCCTTTCATGTCTAAAATAGCTTTGTTGCTAGCAATGTCTGGACCCTACAGGCTGGTTTTAGGAGCAAAGAGCATCGTTTTCTGAATGTCAATAAGGTGTCCATTTATCACAGTCCACTTACGCTTCCTGGCACTGGTTCCATCAGGGAAGATTTCTTGGAATTTTGCTCTGTGACGGCATTGTTCTGAGACCTGCAGGGAGACCAAGATAAATCCAACTGTGCTTAAGTATCTGTCACTTCACTCCTTCCCTGGAGTCCAACTGGACTCGATGGAAGAAAACAGAAACGATTGATTGGTACTTTAAAATGCTTTTGCTTCCTTTCTGCAGGGGCAAATCATAATGCATTTCAGCCTCTTGCCGTTTGTGCGGTGTTATGTCCGCAAGCTAACATATTCCCACGTCGCAGAGCTCGGGCCCACAGGTTGATTTTCTCCCAGGACTAGAGAGGCATTTGCTTCACATTGTCGGGAAGTCACTGCCTGGCTTGTTTCTAAATCGTTATGTCTCCTTTAATGGCTTTCAAGTGCTCTAGAATATAAAAGGTTTGATGGCTTGGGGAAGGCCTGCTGAAACCAAATTCAAAACACTGCCTGGGAGTTGGCTGACTGGTTTATGAACAGTCTTCGGTTTCATAAAATTAACACAATAGCAGCTTTTGTTCAGAAACAGTGAGCTTCAAAGGAGCAGGATGCAGAGGACTTGGAGACCCTGTGACATTTCTTATTTCTGAGGTGTTATGAGAGTAGGAATGGCTGAGAAAAACCTTAGACAAGTTGAGTTTTTTGGGGTTTTTTTGTTTTGTTTTTTTAATTAAATCTTTATTGTTCAGATTACAGTTGTTCCTCTTTTTTCCTCCCATAGCTCCCCTCCACCCAGTTCCCACGCCCCCCCCCCCCACTGTCCTCATCCATAGGTGTACAATTTTTATCCAATCTCTTCCCGCACTCCCCACACCCCTTTCCCCCCTGAGAATAGTCAGTCCATTCCTTTCTATGCCCCTGATTCTATTATATTCACCAGTTTACTCTGTTCATCAGATTTTTTATTCACTTGATTTTTAGATTCACTTGTTGATAGATATGTATTTGCTGTTCATAAAAGTTAGTCTCTGGAGACTGGCACTAAAGTGCTCTAGAGTGGACTGGGAGAGGTAGGAAGGGAGCCTTGCCCTCCTCTGATAAGATACACATAAAATGTTTACGAAGTGTGACTCTCCATCAAGGCCCCTGAAATTCCTCTTTTATGGAGCCAGGCAGAGAGAAGTGGGGGCGTCTGGCCCGAGGAGAGAGGCAATCTGAAAAAAGGGACGGTGCCCAAGAGGGAACACACACCCTCTGAAGTTGGCCAGGCAGACAAGACAGCCGTGACTGGATTCTTAGGACAGTGTCCTGCAAATTCTACCTTCGATATTCAGACATGGAAACCTCTGTTCAGTTGGCCCAGTGATGTGACATTGCTCATCCCATGCTGTTCCCTCTTTTCTCCAAGACTTCGGACCTGGTGGAGGTTCCTGAAGAAGCCGACGGGCCAGGAGATGGGTACGACCTACGGAAACGCAGCAACAGCGGTGAGTGAGGGAATGACTGGGAAATCAGGTCCCGACTCAAAGGTGAATCGCATTAGCCTGAGTCAGGGGGCAGGGAAAGTCGATGTCCAGGCCCCTGGTTTCTCTGCTCACCCTGGAATTCAACCTGGGCAAGTGCTCAGCATTCTGCAGAGAAACAGGGCATCGTGGCTGGTGGATGTCAGTGATTTGACTACACTGTTCCTTGAGTTCTGTCTCCTGCATTCGCATGCCTTATGGGCTTAACAGAACGGGGTTTAGGAGTCACTTCCAGACCTTTTGTTAATGCATCGTTTCCCCCCCTGACCTTTGCAAGATCAGCAAAGCCACGGAGAAGCTACTCCAGGCTACACCTCAAGTACTCGAACCAGGTGGGGGGTGGTGCCAGGGAGGGGAGTAGGGACCTCACACGTGGCTCCTCGCCAGCAGAGAAAACTAAGTCTCTGGTATGTGCAATCTAGCCAAACATTCTTTTTTTAAAATTTGTCTTTATTGTTGAAAGTATTACAGATGTTCCCTTTTCCCCCCATCACCCCGGCCCATCCTCACCTGTCCCCCACCCCCGCCTTCACCACACTATTATTCTTCCATGACTTATGCCCTGTTACAATGATTTCTAAAATAATTATTAGATGCTAACTACATATATTGCTTGCTAACATTAAGAAAAAGCTGCCTCTTAAAGTAGAGTTTAAGGAAACACAATGAGCCTCTTAGGAATTCATCTTGCCAATGCTCTCTAATGTGAATACTGGTCATTGCTTAATCTCCACTCCATTATTCAAAAAAAAATTTCTGGAGCATTTACCATCACCTGCAGAGGTACCTAGGTCACCAATGCTGTCCTCAGGTCGCTCATAATCTAGTGAGGCTGCATGTACCGACTTGAGTCATGTACTTGGGCTGAGTGCATCCTCAAGGTGACCCCGCCCGGCTCTGCATGGAAAGTGTGGGGATGTGCCCCTTGGACCGGTTTCCCACCTGACTGTTTGCCCTGCCTCTTCCAGACCGGAAACGGTATCCCACAGCTGCGTTGTCGGTGGCTGTCTGACACGGTATCACTTCCCCTCCCTCAGTTCTAGGAACTCCCGTGTGCCCCTTGTCTCGCTAGGACTGTGCCTCTGTGAGTCCCTGAAGGCAGCACATGCTTAGCTTCCCCCATGACCCTCCCTCCTAAATAGCACGGGCCCCCTTCCAAGCCTGCCCACATCTGCGAAAGCACACAGCGAGGGTAAGGCTTCTTTTGCACCACGCGGGGAAAACTGCCCTTCAGGTCAATGCACACAGAGCCATTGGAGAGCCAAATTAAAGAGTGCGATGGCCAGGGGACCCTCACAACGAGCAGAGACACGGCAGGGCCATCCAGCCCAAGTCTGTCCAGCCCTACAGGTCCAGCAACTGAAATGGACAGCAACCCTAAGTCCTTCAGCATCTGGAGAACAAACTCACAAGAGACCGGGATATAAACCAGACGTGCCTGCATTTTCATGCTTCAGGTCTGGTTGGCTGCTCGGTCCCTGAGTCTGCCTTCTGCCTGCACCCCTTATCTGACACTTCTCAACAATGTCATGGTCTCCTCATCACTAACCACGCCGGACGTATTTGGTCCTTGATCCCTCCTTGCTCTGGAGACAGCCTGCTGGGCTTCGCGTGGTGATCACGTGGCTGTGAAGCAGTGACCCAGCCTCTCTCTGCCTCTATCGACTCATCTGTAAAGTGAGGATAATCCTATCACCAAACCCATTGGATATTTTCATCTTTAAATGAGATGATAAATGAAAATACCATGTATGGCCCAGCCTGTGTGGCTCAGGGGTTGAGCACTGACCTATGAACCAGGAGGTCATGGTTCAATTCCCAGTCAGGGCTCATGCCTGGGTTGCAGGCTCCATCCCCAGTAGGGAGCATGCAGTAGGCAGCCAATCAATGATTCTCATCATTGATGTTTCTATCTCCCTCTCCCTTCCTCTCTGAAATAAATTTCAAAAAAATTTTTTTGAAGAAAATACCATGTATGCATTGATGACTCTGGAACCTGGTTTCCAGCACTAGGCTTCCTTGCTGCCTCCAGACCCCTGCAGTCTACTGGCTATGGCCATCTGAATGCAGAATAGGCATTTTAAGTTAACACTGGACTCTTGATTGCTTTACCCACACACCCACACCAGCTCTTCCCAGGTTGCCTCTGCTCAGTAAATAGGAACTCTATTCTACTAGTTGATCAGGCCAAACCTTTGGGCATCAGCCTTGACTCCCCATTCTTCTAACACCTCCTATCTGATCTGTCAGCAGGTCTTATCTGCTGCTCTTCAAACTCTTGCCCAATATGTGCCCCCCACCTTGCCTCTCTGCCTCCATCATCCTGGTCCAGCTCTACTGAAGCTGTCATTCGCCCATTCCCTTAATAGTTATGGTCTTTATTTGTCCAGGGGTTTCTTTACTCCAAAAGTGGTCTTCATAGGATTTTATAATGTGAAGGAATCATCATTCATATAGGAATCATCAATATGAAGTAGGATTGCTATTAACTAAGTCATCACAAGGTCATAAAGTATCAGGGATGCAGCCTAGAGCCTCACTACTCCACGTGTGGCCCCTGAGCCAGCAGCCCGGGCAGCACTTGAGAGCCTGTTGGAAATGCAGAATCTCAGGCTATTCCAGATCATCTGCAGAATCAGAATTTTTTTTAATCCTCACTCAAGGATATTTTTCCATTGATTTTTTAGAGAGAGTGGAAGAGAGAGGGAAAGACAGAGAGAAATATCAATGTGAGAGAAACACATTGATTGGTTGCCTCCTGCACGTGCCCTGACCAGGACCTGGGCCGGGGAGGAGCCTGCAACTGAGGCATGTACCCTTGACTGGAATCAAACCCAGGAACCTTTGATCCACAGGCCGACGCTCTATCCACTGAGCCAAACCAGCTAGGACCAGAATCAGAATTTATATGTGAATCTCTGATATGAATCTTATTGAAGTTCAAGAAGCAGGATTAGAAATCATGGGACATCCCTCCCACCCCCCCTACACACAACACATCCTGTTACATAAAGAAACTAAGGCACTGAGTAACACACTCAAAGACTCAAAGTTGATTATTCGCCATCTCTTTTATGTGAAGGGCATTTTTACCGACTTATTCAAAGAAATCTGTTAAAGAAATTAGCAAGCAATAAACCTCTAAAAAGCTTTGGAGATCTATTAGCCATTCCTTTGATCAGCAGTAGCTTTCTTTACAATGCACCCTTGGAAGCAGGAGAGATTAGTTATGCAGCAGTTTGCTTCCGAACATTTTCTTTGATTTGATTTAATCCTCTGTCCATGCAGTTTGAGAAACAACATAGAGAAAACACCCTGCTTTCGGGGTCCCAGGTCTCACTAGTCCTCTCACCATCATGGCAAGGACAGTACTGGCTTTGCAGAAGCAGCGCCTGAGCTTCCAGTCACAAGCAGTTCCGCATTACATGTTTCCTTTACGTTCTAAAACATGCACAGTGCACACAGATATTACTTCTGCCAAGCCAGGCAGCATGTCAAATCCTGGAGAACTATTTTTTAAAATATAGTTTTAATGATTTCAGAGAGGAAGGGAGAGGGAGAGAGAGATACAAACATTAATCATGAGAGAGAATCATTGATTGATTGCCTCCTGCACGCCCCCTACTGGGGATCGAGCCCACAACCAGGGCATGTGCCCTGTCTGGGAATTGAACTGTGACCTCCTGGTTCATAGGTCGCCACTCAACCACTAAGCCACACCAGTCAGGCCTGGAGGAATATTTCCAAAGCCACCTTAGAAGAGGGTACAATTCATGCTCATTTCTTTACTGGTAAGAATGCAGTCTGCGTTTTCTTTAGAGAAGATCTTGGGCAGGTCTGAGCATTTCTGGTTGTTGTTTTCAACACTACGGCTGGATGCATTAGAAATGTAGACGGGAGAATTGTTGGTCTTCACCTTTGCTTTAACTGCCAGCGACGCCATGGGAAGCAAGGTAATGAGCAAAGGGAGAAGAAAAATCTAGGCTGCCTATTTCAGCATGAAATGCCAAATAATGATGTTACTGGCTGCCTTCAATAATTGCATTTCAGTCTAACTAGATGTGATCATAACTTTCCTGGAAAAGAAGCGGGGGCGGGGCGGGGGAGAACATAAGCAAGACAGATTCCTAGAACTATTCTTTTTAAAGGGTTGGGTGATCACATTCACTTGAGGATATTACAAAGCTGAATAGTACCTTGCGTTGCACTAAAGCAAAGAAATTCTGCCCAGGAAGAAAAATGGCAAGCTCGTGTTTGTAAAATTGATGCTTGCCTTTAGTATGCACTGGTTCTATATCTCAAATTTTGAGTTGTCACCAGAAAAGAAAAAAAAAAGGAAGCAAATCTTCTAATGGCTCTGTTGGCAGATGCCCCTGGTTCCGGTCCCCCTCCAGTGGACAATTCCCAAATTACAAATGCAAATATTACGGTGTGTTTTTGCAACACATAATTAGTGTCCAGATCATTTGCAATAACATGAATGGACCTACAGAGTATTATGCTGCGTGAAATAAATCAGACACAGAAAGACAAAGGCCATCGGATTTTACTTATATGTGGAATCTATAAAACACACAAAACAAAACAGAAACAAGCTCATAGATACAGAGAACAAATTGATGGTTGCCAAGGTGAAGGGATTAACAAAATAGCGGTTATAAAAACAGTCACAAGGATATAAAGTACAGCAGAGGGAATATAGTCAATAATATTGTAATAACTATCTATGGTGTCAGATGGGTGCTAGACTTAGCAGGTGATCATTTCAAAAGTTATATAAATGTCTAATCCCTGTGCTATACACCTGAAGTTACATAATATTATATGTCAACTGTAATTGGAAAAAAATTTTAATTTTAAGTTACTGTAGGCAAATATTAAGCAACAGAAAGATTATATAGCTATATTAATTGGGGGTAGACTTTAAGAACCCCCAAAAATGAAGCATCACTAGAGAATAGTATCATTACATCGTCAAGCGCACTTCACCAGAAGATATAAATTCTAAACTTCCATCCACCTAATGTGTAGCCTTTAAATTACAGAAACTCAAAGAGGAATTGATAGAACTATTAGGAAAATTGACATTCCCCTTCATAGTGAGGGATTTTAACACACCTTTCAATCATTGGCAAGTTGGATAGACAAAAAAATATAGTACAGACATAGAGGAAATGAGGACATATTTGACAATTCTAATTGACTTAAAAAGGACACTCCATCTAACAAATGGACAATTCAAATTCTTTTTAAGAACACTTGGAACAATTATAAAAATTGATCACCTGGTAGGCCACAAGCAAGCTTCATAAATTAATATTATATAGAACACATCTTTCTGACAACCAAAAAATCAATAGTCAAGAGATAAGTAGGAAAACCTATAATTTGAGAAATTAAAATAAACTTTTAAAAAGCTTGTGTATTAAAAAAGAAATGAAATATATTCCAATGAAAATTGGAATATATTTAAAACTAAGTAATAGGGAAAACACTACATATCAAAACTGTAGAATGCAGCTAAAGTTGTAACTATATACCTTTGAAACTATTCAATTAAAAAATAAGAAATGCTAAAAAGTAATCATCTAAGCATTATATTTAAGAAGTCAGAAAAAAGAAATAGAATAGAGCCCACGAAAGAAAGGCAAATAAAGATTCGAGCCAAAATGATTAAATGACAAAGATAGATCATAAATCCTTCAAGTGGTTCTTAAAAAATTAAATGCATAACATTTAACAATTTTAAGAATAAAATAGAGAGATAAAACAAAAGGCAATAATAAAAAGAATGAGTATAACAGATCAAAAGGAAAATAAAAGAATCTCATGGCCAACTTCATGCCAATACATTTTAAAACTATTTTTAAATAGGCAAATACCAAGAGAAATGCCATTGAGCAAAGTCTGACTCAGGAAGTAATAGAAGTAGAAACCTTGGATTTGCTTCTAATTATGATAGAAATGGAATCAATATTTCCAATGTTTGCACTATGAAAATACCAGGCCCAGTCAACTGTGTAAGTAAATGCTACCAAACATTTAAGGAAAAGAGAGTTTCCATGTTACATAAGCTCATTCTGGACAACAAGAAGTGGCAAGGAGGAAGGATAGCAGCATTGTCTAATTTAGATTATGAGGCTAATATGATTCTGACCTTAAAACCAACAAAGACAGTAGGAGAAAGAAGAATCACGGGCAAGTCTCCCTCTCGAATATGGAAGCAGAAATCTGAAACAAAATCTTAGTAAGCTGAATCCAATCGTGTATTTTGAAAAGACAATGCATAATTACCAAGCTGGACTTATTCCAGGGATGCAAATTTGGGTCAATGTTAGATAAGCCAATAATGTAACTGGCTGCATTATCAGGTTAAAGATAAAAATAATCATCTCATTAGAAAACACAGCAGTGAACATGGGCCTCACAGGACTGAAAAGCAAAAAGGAAAGACAGAATATGGAAAAGGAACAGAAGACAGTCCTTTGGGGATGTGACAAAACTAAAGATTCATTTTGCATCTATAACATCAGAAAATATTGCTAGGTGAAATAAATCATATCGAAAAGGATAAGAACCATATGACTGCACTCATATGTAGGCTATAAAACAGAAAGCAACAAACTCAGAGACACAGATGGTGGTAACCTGAGGGGAAGTGGGTGGGGGAGGATGAAGAAGGTAAAGAAGGTCAAATATATGGTGATTGAAGGAGACCAGACTTTGGATGGTGAGCACACAGTGCAATATACAGGTGATGTCGTATAGAAATGTGCAATTGAAACTTATATAATGTTATTAACCAATGTTACCCCAATAAATTTAATTTTAAAAATATGCCTGCCGAACCGGTTTGGCTCAGTGGATAGAGCGTCGGCCTGCGGACTCAAGGGTCCCAGGTTCGATTCCGGTCAAGGGCATGTACCTTGGTTGCGGGCACATCCCCACTGGAGGGTGTGCAGGAGGCAGCTGGTTGATCTCTCTCATCGATGTTTCTAACTCTCTATCCCTCTCCCTTCTTCTCTGTAAAAAATCAATAAAATATATTTTAAAAAAAAATATGCCTGCACCAGGGATATATTCTTTGAATACTTGTTCTGAATGAAATTAGCAATCAAATTATTTTTAATAAAATAAACTTAAAGCAGCAAACGTAAAAGTTGTATGATATATTTTTGGTAAATAGACCTGATTCTGAAAGGAATGGGTTTTATTTATTTATTTTTTATCCTCACCCGAGGATATTTTTCCCATTGATTTTTTAGAGAGTAGAAGGGAGGCAGGAGGGGGAAGAGAGAAAAACATAGATGTGAAAGAGACACGTTGATTGGTTGCCTCCCACACGTGCCCTGACAGCACCCCTACTGGGGCCAGAGCCTACAACCGAGGTACAGGCCCTTGACTGGAAATCGAACCCGAGACCCTCATTCCACAGGCCAACGCTCTAACCATTGAACAAAACTGGCCAGGGCAAGGAATGGGTTTTAAAAATCATTTTGGCACTGTTCAGTTCTGCTTGCAACAATATAGTTAAAAACACATTTGAGGTCACTTCAAGTGATTTTTAATGTAGTTCACAAAAGTGATACACATTTCAAACCAGCTACTTAAGGGATATTCAATAAAAAGCTAAAATAATGTGGAATTACCAAATTGTAAATGCCATCCAAGCTGTTCATTGCCTGTGCACCTTATGTACTTCCCCTTTTTAGCTCCAATCAAATCTAGGAGGATTCTCTTTGTGTGTTTTCATTCAATAATTTAATATTCTTTTAGAAGTTTCCAGTTTTCTACTTAGGGAATCAAATATTTACACCAAGATTTTAGGTCATCACATTTTATCACCTGGCCTCTACTCATTTTCAACTGCTGAGTGGCCAAATATGGAGGCAGACAAGGCCCATAGGTTTGGGCCTTCCTTTTCCACTTACCTACAGACCAGAGCTCCTCCGACGAGTGCATATTGGCCTCCTAGGGCTGATGGGATTGTGTCCACAGGCTCTGGAACGATAAATTGGAGAAGAGACGTTTGCTAAGCATCGGCACATTTACAGGGGCTCTTGTTCTGAAGCGTGTTCTCTACACCAGTTACTGAGTCCCTCTTAGGGACATGGAGATGCGCTGACTGAAGTAGGGGGTACAGCTTTGGGTGGCCTGTGTCTCTTCCTCTCCTGAGATTGCCTCAATAATCTGCAGGGAGACCAAAGGGAAGAATAAAGCAGCCATGTGTTACGTTTAAATGTGGAGTCTTCTCAACGGCAGGTAAATTTGGACACCGTAACTGTACTCTATAAACTTGGAAACATTCGCCACATTTGTGTTTAAGGAGGAGACACGCAGTGACAATAAGGCCATGCCGTTGTCACCAGGGTAGACTCGGCTCCTGGTACGGGCCATGGCAGAGCCCTCACAGCCACCAGAGGCCTCCCACAGCTGTGCAACGGACAGCGGAAACTCCTGCCCATTGTCAGAGCCTTGTTCTGATCAAAGGCCACCAAGTGGCTGCTGAAACGCAAAAGGAAGAGAATTCTGCAGCCCAAGAGCAAACCAAATGAGAAACCACACTTTTATTCTTTAATCCGAATAATTGCCTCAGTGCACTGACAATAAGAGATCCAGGAACTATTTTGAAATTTAAAACTAACACTTTAATCTGAAAAATAGAATATAGATAACATTAACAAACTAGAAACAAGATATTGACAATAGATGAGGAAAACCCGGTATTTAGAAAAGGTAATTCGGATACAGTTAAATCGGGCCCTCCATCACCCTCCATCCCATAACGAGTGATTGGATACATGTAACAGAGATGCAGGGCGCGGTTTCTGTTCATGAGAAGAGCACTATCCAGGGAGACCCAGTTGTAAACACTCAACTGCCAGGCAAGCGAGAGGATGTGCCAGCTGGAGGCGTGTGCAAGGGTGTGAGCGCGCAGAGCAGGCGGTGCAGAACCCGCACAGGGAGCCAGGGAGGCGTCCCACAGACAACAGGCAAGCTGGGCCACCGAGAACAAGGAAAAGGCAGAAGTGAAATAGACTCTGTGACAGGAATTAAGAAACCAAGTTTTCAATCATGTTTCCAAAACACAGTGACTGGATCCATAAAACTCCTGCTTCCCTTTGTCTCCTCAGTGTTTACGTATCCAGAAAATGGCACTGACGACCTCAGAGACCAAGCGAAGAACTTAAACCACCAGGTATTTATGGGCGTCGCAAAGGCAGTGTTTGTTTCCACATATGTGTTACACACAAGTAGATAGAGACTCTCTCGTGTGTAAATTATACAGTTACATAATATAGCGGCTGTATTTTATAGTACATAAGTATATAGTTATTATATTTTTATGTTCATTTGTATATAATTAGCATAGAATCCATAGAATAGAATAAATTGATGGAATCAATAGAATAAAATAAAAGATACTTGAGCTTTGGATAGCAGAGTGAATCAAATAAAAAAGGTATAGTTGTGTGCAACCTTTGTTAGTTTTATAGATGGCATATGTTTATTACATAATGTATTTACATATAGTGTAGAATTATATATTATACATATGTGTATATATTACAGTTATGTTATATATTATATAATTTTTAATTTATTATATGTATTATAAAGTGTAAGCATTGATATAGCATTCATATCTAATTGGTTAATAATAGTAGCTAATATTTATATAACACAATACTCTTTATAGTCTACAAATCGGGGACAACAATAAAATCCACCTCACAGGGCTGTTGTGAGGATCCAGTGTGCTCATGCATGTACCGCACTGCCTGGCACACGGTACGCTATCAAAACAGTAGTTCTTATCATCATTATTGCAAGGCTTCACGGCCAGTAGATGGTGATCCCATGACATAACCAAAATCTGCCTGATGGCAGAATCTGTGCTGTCTTCACAGAATGAATGAACTAATTGCCCTGTGTATACACCTGGTCCCCTTGGATACTTGAGACACCAAAGAAGAAGTCAGTTTTATGGATCACTTCGCAAATTATATAAATGTCTAACTACTATGCTGTACACCTGAAACTAATATAATATTGAATGTTAACTGTAATTGAAAAATAATTGTTTTTTAAAAAACTGAAGTTTAGGAAGTGAAAGTTTTGTTACTCCTATTCACATGTCCATCTTTCTATAGAGAGGATATTTTCACTCCTGGGGCCAATCCTGTATCACTTTTCATGAACAACCATATAAAAAATAGTATTTGGAGAAAATTATAGTATATCTCTTTTTTAAATGTTTTTATTAATTTGTAGAGAGAAACGGAGGGAGAGGAAGAGAGAGAGAGAAACATCGATGAGAGAGACACATCATGGATCAGCTGCCACCTGCACAACCCTTACTGGGGATCGAGCCCGCAACCCAGGCATGTGCCCAGACTGGGAATTGAACCAGTGACCTCTTGGTTCAACCACATAGCCACACCAGCCGGGCAAAAATTACAGTATTTCTGACAAAGATCTCCACATAATTGTTTTCAAATGGTTTGCAATAAAAGCAATCTCAGCTAAGAAATTTTAAAAAATAAACCAATGGTTGAAACAGTCTCTAATAACGTTTAGCTATTTTAACCCTTAAGAGCCATACACTGAATTACTTTGCATTCACTTCACCATTGCCTTTTTTTCCCCCTTGCTTCTCTCCATTTCTTCCTCCTTCCTTCCCTAATTTGTCTTCATTTCCTCTTTCAGGGACCTCTTTCCAAAGACGCATTACAGATGAACACCTATGTTGCCTTGTACAAATTTGTACCACAGGAGAATGAAGATTTGGAAATGAGGTAAAAGCATTTTTTTACAGAAAAGAAAAAAGCAAGAGTGAAAGAAAGAATGAATAATTCAATTTGTGTTACCTCCGGGATATTTAGGGCAATTCTCAAACTTTAGTGTGCATGCATCCTGCAGGGCTGGTTCGCTGGGATTGCTGGGCCAGTCCCTGCAGCTTCTGAGTCAGCTGGTCGGGGGCGGGGCTTGAGAATTTGTATTTCTAACTGGTCTGCCAGTGACTACACTGCTGCTGACCCAAGGCCACACCTCAAAAAGCACGGTTTTAGCACCCTGCCAACAGAACTGCTCATGGGAGTTTTCATGAAAGTTGCACATAAGATGCACTTGTCATCCTGTGGAGTCCAGGGAATCAAAAAACTATATTTCATCCCCAAATTAGCATTGATTGAAGAATCAAACTAAAGCCATTTCTTTCTCCTGCTGGAGACTGGCACCTCTGCCTGGCTCACAAGGATCCATCCCACTTACGGTAACTGACACCTGGGGACGGTAAGGTGAGCTTTGGGAATCTTTCTCTTGACCACAGTTTTTGTTCCTCGCGTTTCAGTGTAGAGTCAGTCCTCTGCTCACATCCTGTTTATTGTGTGACCTGAAGCACTTTATAAACAGCTTAGGTATCTATAATAATAAAAGCATAATATGCTAATTAGACTGGACATCCTTCCGGACGACCTTCCAGACAAAGCTGGGGCTGTGAGGGCCAAGCCCCTTGCACGAATTTCGTGCATCAGGCCTCTAGTAAAAGAATAAGAATGACCTATTCCTCCTACAGTACCTGTGAGGGTGAAATGAGTAGTGCATAAGGCATATAGCATGGTGCCCCGTCATTGCGGACACTCAGTAACTGGTAGTTATTCCAATTTGTATAATATGGTGTGTTCACTGGCCTGTCTCCAAGGAAAGGTTTGGTTCCCCTCCTCCACTCATGGCCTGAAAACGTAAGTAGTCTGGGGAGAAGGCTTTGGTGTTTCCCAATCCCAGAGCAGGGGAGAAAGGGCTGTTTTTCTCGTCTAATGGGCCCTTGCACATTGGTTCTTTCCAAGTCCAAAGAGAATGGAGAGATGTTAACACTAAAATCTACTAAAATGTCAGTCTTAGTGAAATCGCCTCCATTTGGGGTGGACTCCCCTTGCCTGAATGCCATGCAGACCAAGTCCCAGTCATGTCATTCCCCTTAAATGGCATCCAGAGGGACCTGTCCCTCCGCCCTGGGCTATGTGGGCTTCTCTCCGTCCTCAGGCTTGTGCCACGTCCCAGGAATAGTCCATGTGCGCTTGCCTGAATGTGGTTTCCCACTTCAGTGGAATCAGCCGCTCCTCTTCCTCTTCCCCAGAGCCCCTCAAAAGGACAGGGCTGCCAACAAGGCTCCAGTTAGACCCTGCATCCCTGGTTCCACAGGCCATTGGGTCAAGTCCAGCAGCCCTCAGGGCGCAGCATTCAGCGAGACTCCACAGCAGATGGGTGTATCCTGCCGGAGTCTGGTACCTCCTGGCTCACACGGAGGTCAGCTGTGTTCAGTGTGTGCCCTGGTCTGCTCCCAGTCATTCTTGGGTCTTTGCAGAGCACAGTTCAGAGCCTGGAACTCGGCTCCTTAGATTCCTGCAGACGTTTAGGCTCTGAGTTTTCTCCACCGTTGGGTAGGAATTGCCACACTGACGTCACTGGCAGGAGCTGTGAACACTACCTGGACTGTCTGGCATCGGTGCAGGAGGAGAGATGGCATTTGTCAAGTGCAGGCCTATCCTAGTGGGGATATAACAAGCCCCGAAGGTTAGAGCCCCCCTAGGATTCACCACTGGGGTGGTACCTGCCCTTCAGCAAATGGTCCCCAATGGACTACCTGCTGATGAAGACACGGATGACATATATTTACTTTGCAATAAATACAGTATATTTTGTTCTTCTTGAGATTGTCATTTGGGGTATCTAAAATTTTAAATTTAACAACTTCTTATTGTGCGGGTCCCACCGTTTTATATTAGAAAATTGTCTGAAGCCATCAGATGAAAAAAACAACAACACAATTCCTGATAAATATAGAATGTTACTGAGGAATGTCATCTAGCTGCCTGTTGGTGGTCAGGCAGTTGCTGATGTGACATGTCATAACTTTTCGTGCTTAGTTTAGTGGGTTGCAGGCCTTTCACAGCCAGATTGTCTGGTCATGAATCAAACGTTTACAGTCCTCTTCGAGGCACACAGGACTGTTCGTTCCCAGGAGGGGAATGTCTGCATTATACCGACTACAAGAATAAAGGGATAAGTCAGACCTCCTTTTTTTAATATTTTGCCAAGAGATTCTAAGTTCCCATTTTAAAAGCCAGGTGCTTGATTTAGAATGGGGAAGGCAATGCTTTGGGGATTTCATATAATTCCGTGAATGAACTGGAGCTTTGTGAATTATTGCTTTCTCCTTAAACCATAAAGGAGAAAAACAAGTTCTGTTTAACAAAATAACCATTCGCATCCACCTGCATTCTGATCCAGGGGAGCATGCTGGGTATTGTCCTCAGGAAAGAGAACAAAATAAGCGAAAATAAAGGAACAATAGGAGTGTGAGCTTGACGGCAAAGAAGGCCCAATAGTCATATAGATCAGAACAGTCATAGATCACTTCCGCAAGCATTTGTCCTATGCCTGCTCAATAGTAAGGAAAGCCTTTTCTGCCAACAGCTAGCAGTCCAGATCTCCCTACTGACTTCCAGTTGCACAGCCTTACCTGCCTATCCTGGGAGTGGATGGCAATAACAGGTCCTCCTTCCCTCCCACAAACCTGCTCCTTAGGGTGAATGACATCACCATCTGCCCAAGGCTTCCAGCCACCAGAGACCTCTCTTTACCCGCATTCAGTTGAGTACACTGTTTCTTCTCTGTTCTCTCCTTCCTGGGGCGACTGAGTATTTAATGAGATAATTTAAAATAAAAGCTAGGATTTCACTCCCAGTACAAAGCAAGGTGCGCACTATATTTTAGATGCCTTATGTTCATAATTTGCATCTTTTCACAATAGGTTTCATTTCCTAGTTTTCTGAACAACCTCATTAACACAACCCTAACACCGTCAAAGACTCTGTCTGGCTATTGAGCACATCCCGTGAGACTTTATCTCACTGGCCCCGTGATAAGGAGGCTGTGATACCCTGTCCCTCATCTTCTGAGCAGGTTTTGCAGTTGCTGGTGTGACATGTCACAGGTATGGAATTTTACCACTGACATGAAAGATACGATGCCATCCTGTGTGAGACCTCCAGTTCATTGCTGAGGATTTGTGGTCTCCTAACATTAAAGAGCCACCCAGGTTCCTCTAAATGGAAGAGGCTTGTATAGTAAGTAGATAACCTTCTGTAATTCAGGGTCTTAGACAATGTCTACCAATAACCCTTATTATCAAGCTTTATAAAGAGCTGGGGAAATTGCACTTTATGGACTGCCAGCCTCATTCATGAGCAAAATTCTTTAAAATGCTACTTGAACTACAAACTGGAGAACCCCATTCTCATCAGTATTAACATCATTATCATCCCATATTGCCTCGTGCTGAATTGTCCTCTTGGCCAAGTGGGTGGGTATGTGTGTGATATACTTACCTATGGACATCCATTCCCACACACTCACAGTCAGATCTGCATGAACACACACACATTCATGTGCACACATTCGTACACACACATCATGAGCGCAAGCTTGATAATACATGCTTAGCTTTTGAAAGAAATTAAATCCTGCCCAGCCAGTGTGGCTAAGTGGTTGAGTGTCAACCTATGAACCAGGAGGTCATGGTTCGATTCCTGGCCAAGGGCACATGCCTGGGTTTCGGGCTCCATCCCCAGTGTGGGGCGTGCAGGAGGCAGCCAATCAATGATTCTCTCTCATCATTTATGTTTCTATCTCTCCCTCTTCCTTCCTCTCTGAGATCAATAAAAATATATATTTTTCAAAAATAAGAAAGTTTTGCCCTCCATACTTACAAAGTAACCAGTCCCATTATCCTCACTGCTTTGGGGGTCAGAAGTCTGCAGAGTCTTAGAGCCATTGCTTGTTATTCACACCAACACACCTTTAAAAACCAATAAGAATTACTTTTATGGCTTTGCCGAGTTGATATATCACATAAGCAATCAGCAGATGTAAATAACTCCAAGTCAACACAAACCCCTAAACATCGTAAGAACTCTGAAATAAAGGCTCAAGAGTAAATAAAAGACTTAAAGATTCAAATGCATATTTCAGTGGCCATTTAATGCCTGTTCCAAAGAAACCATTTTGGTTTCCCACATCTAAGTCATTTTCATTTTTATTAGTTCTCCCCAAACAGATTTATATGATAATGGCCATGTTTCATAAGGGGGGAAGGGAGCAGGGAATGAGATGGAAAGAGAAAAAAAGCTTAGGAGCCAAGAGAGGGAAAGCAGGAACTAATTTTCCAAGTTTATTAAATTCTAAGAAAGACACAAATTAATTGCCACTTCAGTGTGTCGGAACACCTACATGGGGGGGGGGGGGAGGTTCAAAGAGAAACCTGTCTGCTGCTGTAACCCCAAATAAGGATTTAGATTCTTGAGTCACCAGACTCTTTCCTGGCAGCCTGGACCTCGGATTTTTCCATGGGCGCGTCTGAATGAAGCCAGGCAGCTATTTGTCTCATTAGCTAATATTCATCAGAAGCTCTGGAGATGGGATGGCCTGAATTCATCTCATTCCAATTTTTTCAAAGCACCTTAGAACTGACTTTAACCCGCGCATGGCTGTTTCCTCCACTCGTCACATTGTGATGAGCACCTACCCTCTGCTGGGGGAACAATGCACAGGCCCTGTGCTCAGAAAGCTCAAGTGGGCAAGGGCTGGCGTGGGTGGCAGAGGAGTAGAGAAGACGGTGCCCTTCAGCGTGGGGTCTTGTGGGTGGGGAGGCACCCAAGCAGCCTTGGGAAACCAAGGAAGACTTTGCAGGCAGGTGGCATCACAGCCATGCTAGGGCTTCCGCTTGTTAGTGCGT